TTTGAAAACTTTTATTGATCAACAAAATGAAAGAAGGCAAACATTTTCAGAATGTCCAAGGAAATACTACTTTTTGCAACATCCTATGTCAACTGAATAAACATTTTCATACATGAAGGGGGTTCAAAAGAAAGACTGCCTTGTCCAGCTCTTCATATTGTCTATTTTGACCAATATTGTCAGTCAGTTGACTCCTTATAAAAATATTGCCCCTATTTCTGTGATTTGATAAAAACAAAACAATAGAAAATAGTCAAAAAAACAATAGAATGCAAGACATGTATAAACAGATCAAACAACAGAAACTGTCAGTCGGCAGCATATATAATTCATTATCCTATGATACTTATTGTTACCCTTGTTTGCATTTTTGATTGAAAAAAATCATTTGACTCATAATTTACAATATAATAAAAAATCAAACACATGAACAATATAACTCTGTATTTAAAATACTCATATCATCTGAAAACAAGCTCAACATTATGAAACGGCATCCTGTTGGTCTAAACTCTAACATTGGTTGCAGTTGAAGATTTCATACAACAAAACCAACAGCAAACAATAAAGAAAACTCTAGCAACATTTTATTGATTCTTTACACTATAACCTAGCGAAATGCTATTTATCCCGAACAGTTCCAGGCTCAGCGATTGAACAACAACAGTATGATCGTAAAGTTTATCAATATACTAATTCCTACACTCAAACTCTAAAAGTCCAATTTAATATACGAACATCTGATTAGATTTTATGAGCAGCGAATTGAACAGGATATAAAGGTAAATTTCACAAAAGCAGCAATACTAAGAAAATATAGATTTTTGGAATTTAGAAAGAATCAAATAGGAAGGTGTATATATATACTGGTTCATTGTTTGCAAAAGGTGCAAAACCATAAAAGAAGATATAAATACCAACGGAAAATTCAAAACTGAAAAGAAAAATTAATATGCCAAGGCAAAAACAAAAACAAACATCGACAAAAGGACAAACAGGTCCACCAACGAAACACTACTTTAAATTTAAAGATTGAGTAGCACGAACCCCATCAAAAACAGTGGGTATACCCAGGTGTTTCTTAAAGGTAAGCAGTTCCTGAGCCATATGTGACACCCATTATATTACTTCAATGAAATACTTCAATAATTTGTATCAAGTGATTATGCATTATGGTATTTAAGTGAACAATCAGCACGAACACATGAAGGACGAGGATAAACTTCTAAATCCCAAATAAGCGATGATAGGATGATAATTTTTTATCATTAGTGGCAATAAAAATCAATCTAGATAACAGTGCAGAATAGCAAACCGAGGCAAACTATTTACATATCATAATAAACAAGAACAGTTCTAAAAATGATACCTTTCTTTTTATCTTATATGTTTTTGTTACATTAGAATACCGAATTAAGTTTACAGTAAAACCTTTTAAAATAAGGGATGTATTTAGGGCTTACAAAGATGTTTAACCCCGCCACATTCATTATGGAACTTTCACACGTAAGCAATCTGAAGTTCTGTTGCTTTAGTTGGTTGCTACAATTGTTTTCTCATTTCATGATATTTGCTTAAATCAGACTGATCCTGTTTAATTGTTTTTTTTTCATCCAGGATCCTTTTCTGGCTTAACTATATTTTGTTTTGTTTCTGAAGGCGACCTGTCCTCGTTGATTACACCTGTGTCGTTATCGTCTTTGATGAATTATTGTCTCATTGCAAAATATACCACATCTTCTAATTTTTATATTGAATTGTACTCTAAAATATACCTGGTTGTTCGCGCGTTTAATTTCCACACATATAAACACGTGTTGAAGTTTATTTTGAATTACCTAAAATTAAGTATCTGGCACAGTTTAATATTAAAGGTACACAATTGAACGGTTTCTCTGTGTTATTGCACTTTTAGATGACATCTTTAATGGGAGAAACACGACGGTTGTTACATGCGGAGCTGGATCTGCTAACACCTCCGAAGCACCTGAGAACACACCCGGTTTTGATGGGGTTCATGTTGCTCAGTCTTAAGTTTGCTATGTTGTGTTTTGAAGACATTTGTCTGTCTTTTGGTCGTTTTCGTTTTTTTTTTTTTTTTTGCATGGCGTTGTCAGTTTGTCATAAACTTGTGTCATGAATATCCCTTTGATATCTTCCGTCGTTCGTGACATGAATAAATCTATTACTCATTCTCAAAATGCTAATATATCCTAAGATGCGTCATGCACTTAAACTGAATTGTTCTTATCAATTAGATATTAAGACCTGTCAAGTTATGTATATATCTTATAACAAGATTAAACGTGCTGTTCTCCCTCTCTTTTCTGAAGAAACATGCAAGATGCAAGGAAATATTTCAATACAAAAATATATTTCAAAATCTCGTTTGAGTAAAACATACAGGACCAATAATTTAACTTGAAATAGACAAAAAGTTTCTTATCTTTAAGTATTTCATTTACATTGAAGTTAATCATTTATATTCGATTGTCTAATTTGTTTTTTGTTTTCTACTTCCATTGACTTTTTCGACTTTCATTCTGTATAATTTTAGATTTGATTCAATGTTTTTTTTTTTTAAATAAATGACTGACTTATGTAGTGACTATGATACATGGAAATGATATTTGTTGCGTTCGAAGGGCTTTATTGGATTTTCCGTCAAAATTTCAAACAATGGAAAATTTACTTTACAAATATATGAAACCAAGAATAGGAAATAAATTATCAAAAAAGTAACAATAACATGGAAATAATTTAGCTGTTCAATTACCATCATAACCTATAAATAGAGTAGGATCTTAATGATAAAAAGCTGTAGCAAAAAGAAATATTTTTATCCAGTATTTTTAAAAGAATGTTGTGAGAACCATTTTACTTCCTTGTGTGTTACTTCGATTTACTCATATGGGTCTTTGGCGGTCTTCATTTCTGCAATCAATGGTAAGGCTTGTTTTCCCCATTCATGTTTTGACTAGTTCTCTCTACCCTTATTTCGGTATGTTTAAGTTTTATGTAGCACCCCATTCTTCTGTTTTCTATATTTTTTGGTCACCCCATTTGTGTTTATCCTCTTTTTTGCCCATTATTTTCGATTTTGAAAAACCCCTTAACACCTTAACTTATCTCACTGGTATCACCACCTACTATTAAGTTGTCAGATCAGGTCATTAACAAGGCAACAAAAAGTATCATTTTCCGGATAAATACTTCTCTCATCTGGTACTTCTTGGAAGAAGTTACCCCGCATTGTAACTATTTAAGAAAATGTGTCTTCGAAAGTACTTAACTGTGGTGGCAACGGTTAACCAACTAAGGACCGAATATCGAATACCAAAATCATTAACCGATTAATTAATGCAATTTTTTTAAATTGAATTGATTTAATAGAAAAAAAGATTCCAAAGGGATAAAACTGTGTGTTGAAATTAATAATTTAGAAAGAGGGGAAAGATACCATAGGGACATTCAAACTTAAAAGTCTAAATTAAACTTACAACGCAATGGCTACAAAAGAAAAAGACCAACAGACAAACAGACAAACAACAGTATACAACACACTACATAGACAACTTAAGACTGAGCAACACGAACCCCACCAAAACTGGGGTATATCTCAGGTGCGCCAGAAGGGTCAGCAGATCCTGCGCCACATTTTTAATCTTAAAATGATCATCAAGGTTCGTAAGGAAATCAATTGTCAAGTATATTCATTATTTGATAATGAATAAAACCATTCCAATTTCAAATAATTAATTACCACAATTCATACAACTTGTGTAACAGTTCAAGAAACTCTTTAGTAAATACGGATAAAGGTTTGTGAAAGGTATATGCATTGCACAGTTGTTAGCAGATCAAAGAATACGATTCAGTCCTTTCTTAGTTTTATTTTAACTTAATATTGCATGGATGTAAATATAAAAATATCAATCATTCACATCCATGATGCCTACAAAATTTCTCCCTGTAATGGCCTGAATATATCACACTTCAGTGTTGATTAGTCTTTGGTTTTCTATGTTGTGTTTTGAGTACTGTCATTTGTCTGATTGTCTTTTTTTTAGCCATGGCGTTGTCAAATTATTTTCGACTGATGAGTTTGAATGTCCCTTTGGTGTTCTTTGCCTTTTTCAAACAGTTTTACGAACATGTGTACTCATTATAATAGGGCTAATAAATGAAAACAGATGCGTTATTCACTTCAACTTACCAGTCCTTAACAGTTTTATATTAAGAATGATCAAGTTATATATATATCTTAAAACACGTTGAATAACATTTAACGCTTTCAAGAAATGTGTGACAAATAAATATTTTTTTGACGCAATATGTTTACGCAATCAAAATTCATTTCATATAATAAACTTGTTTCCACTCAATTTTCTACGCCTGAACAATATCTCGAAATTACAACCATCGCTTGCCAAATTGTTTTTTTCAGGCACTAGTTTATAGAAAAAGATATGCAGATTTACAAAAGCCATTTGTAGAAATATTTTTTTATAATTTTTGACTCCGTGAATAACAAAATCAACTTTCTTTATAACAACAAATTGTCTAGTTAAAAGATTTTAATTCAGTGTAATTCGATTCATCGTGTATAGTCATTAAACATTACAATATATTTTATGACAAAAAATAAAATAAAATAATATATTAACATTCATATACTAGTAACAAATTATTTATTGATATAAGTCAATATCTAAAAAGTTAGTCTCCCGACCAAAGTTCCAATAACTGTTTTAATATGACTGTGTTATATGATATGGGATTAAATATCAATTCAATATATGTATGTAAGCTTAAAGTGTCCAAAATTTTATTGATTGTATCCTTTGCATTTGTCAGAACAGGAAAAAAAGTTTGGTCATGATCTATTTAAGTCATTTGTCGAAGTCGAAAAATATACACTCCCATTTATAGAAAAAAAACACGGAGAATTACAAAATACACATTGAGATTATAAAAAAAAACACTGAGATTTCCGTGAATAACAAAATCAACTTTCTTTATCACAACAAATTGTCTAGATAAAGGATTTTAATTCAGTTCAATTCAATTCATCGTGTATTGACATTAAACATTACAATATGGTTTATGACAAGCAACCACATAGAGATAATCAAATAACTAAAATAATCTTATTACATGTGTATACTAGTAACAAATTATGTATTGATGAAAATCAATCAATAAAAGTTTATCTCCCAACCAAAGATCCAAAAACTGCTTTAATTTTACTGTGATTTATGGGATGAAGTATCAACCTAATTAATGTATGTAAGCTTATCATGTCCAAAGTTTTATTGTATCCTTTGCATTTGTCAGAACAGAAAACAAAGTTTGGTCATGATCTACTTTGTTTGAATATTTCATTAAAAGTCGAAACTGTACTAATTAACATATAAAATGAAAAGTCGGATATAATTAGATGAGACTAGACAGTCTTGATGCTGCACTGGTTAAATTATACTTATCAAGTCCAGCAGCTACTTGGAAAGCATGTCTAGCATCGTTTGTGTCACCCATTAACTGGTGCGCTATGCCATATAAGATAACTGTGTTCACGGATTGAGGATGAAAAACATTAGTACCACAGTTTAAAAGTGTCCATTGAGCATGTTTAAGTCGTTGTAAGAACTTTCTACATGATGTTAGGTCATGTAGATGGTAGTTGCATAGGAAGTAAAGGAAAAGTGCAAATGGCAACGGATCATACATATTAGGCGTGCTTGAAACATCTTGCTGTATTTCTTGCGGAACTAGTGACGATTTAGAATGAAATGTAAACATATGAAGTGTTAATGTTTTTAATAATGTATGTAGTTTGTCTTTATTCATTAGTTTTACCACATGATGTTGAATATAATTTAGTGTGACATTCTTATCTTTTAAAAATCTCAGATAAATCTTCTCGTCTGTGTATTTCTGCAATGTATATGTAATTACAGTTAATGCAGCTATGTAATTTTTGTGAACATAGAAGAAAGAAGCTAACATCAGCCATCCTGACCCTGCATCTGAATGTAAACCGATCATTAAATGACTCAAATCATGTTTGTACATTAAGTAATGGTATTTATTTCCTGTCCAATTTGGATATTGTGTTGCTTCTGGAACAAGCATAGATGCAGCTGATAATTGTAAAGTGAATAATCCTTTAGATAAATCAGTTCTGGAGTGATGTAGAAATTCATACAACAGTCTCGCAAATCTATTAACTCTACCATAAAAACGAATAGTAGGAAATATTGACGCTAATTGTAAGAATCTGTTATTTTCGCTTATTAACGATTCGGTGATTTCGTAGGATCGGCTTTGATTATCTTGTAGAATATTAGAAGATGCAAAGCAATTAATTCCTTTCGCATATACATTCTTAATTATGGTGGTAATTTTTTCTTTGTTATAAGTATTGAACCGTAGAGAGAATAAATTATTTTCAGGAATAAAATAATGTGACAATATTGAGTATCTTACACAGTATAGCAGTCTTTGTAGACATGCCATAAAATATCGTATGAAATTGTCTGGTCTCCATGAATACGGATCTGTTTCTTCTGAAATCCAAAACATAAGTGTTTTTATGAAATATGAACACAACAAACCTTTCAAATCCTCATGTTTCTCTTCTATTTCCTTCAGCAAGATTTTTAACAGAGTATAACATAATAATTGCGTATGACTGAAGGAAAATATAAGAAATTTTTCTGCTACAGAAAATGAAACTCGCCATTCAAGGTTTTCATTTATAGACCCTTTGCAGCCAATTGGAACAAATAAAACACCACAGGATACTATTTTGGAAATTAGTTCAGGTGAAGGCCATGCTGTACGAGGTCTACTTACCCATGGTCTTGCTAGAGGAATCCATTTGTCACATTTTAGACACCATGCAAAATCAGTGTTATCATATTCATCTGCAATACACGGACCATGAATTTTTGCAGACCATTTTCCACGAAAACGTTTTGACAAATGAAACTGCTTATATTGTTCACTTGAAAGCACATATCCAAGATGATTTATTTCTAACATATTCAAAACTCCATCAGAAACCTTTACTAGTGTCTGATTCTGATGACGAGTTACAAGATATAATTGTGTAAAACATGGTTGTGTCTCGTCAGCATTCATAATGAACGGTAACCTTCCGCCTTTCTTTACAACTTCTGTTTCGGATTCATATACTCTTGCATACGGATCAATAAACATAATATCCAAATCACTACTGTTAAAATTGAGTCCTTCGCCTTTACTCCCACTAGTAATTATTGTTTCATTTTGTCCAATGTCACTAATAACGAAAGTCAACCTTCTAACTCTCACGACCTCCTCAGATCCAATCCTCTGGCAAATATATTTGTAAAAATTCAACGATTCACCTTTTTCTTTGGAAATTCTCGGCATTTTCAGCAAGTCAATCTACAAACAAAATGTTTATCATATATAAAATCACCTAGCAATTTATCATATTACCATACCTGAAATTAATTCTGTATTCTTTTTGGGGAAAATGATGAGTGTCATTTTATGACCTATACAGCCGATCAAAGGTACTACATCTCAAGTCTCTGATAGTAATCATGATGTGTTTTATGCAAAGAATCAACTGAGATTCGTCAGATTTTCAGAAGAAGAAAACTAAACTGCATTTATCCTGTAGTAAGGTTAACAGATGTTCTAAAAGGGAAATCAAATCTTCATTTCTCAGATGCAGGATTAGAAATCATAAAAAATTAACGTTGAGTTTCTTTATCAGTTTTGCTGTTTCATTAAAGTTATTTGATAAGAAAATCATTGTTATATTAAAATCAAGTAAATAATATTCGTTTTATTAAATAAAAATGAACTTCCTCCCATAGCGATGTATTTTATAAGCTACTGAACATTAAATTCAAATATATTTGCCGATATTACTTTTTGTTTAACTTTTTGCCCTTTTATAGACAGCAACTTCTGATTGTTGGCGGGAAGAACCACACTGGTTTTAACCACTTTGTTCTTAATATTAACAGTCGTCGGAGACATGTAATTTAAGACTTTATTGTTATGAATATGGTGAACTGATTACAAAATATCTTTCATTCTGGTGGCCAATTGCATACGTGAATATTTAACAGGTTGGGCAATTCCCTAAAATTGTCAATATCTCTAAAAAAAACCTTTTAAAATCCATTTTCAAGTCTGAGTCTGTCATGTTAGTTAACTTCTACTTAATGTTTCATGTGTTTGTACAAACTGCCTAGAAAAGAAGAATAGAAACAATTTAAACCATATTACTCGTAAAAATAATGATCTTTTAATACTGCGACATTTAACCCAACCTGTAGCAATGATTTTGTTAGCAGTTTAGACATGTGGGTTATCTTAAGAGGTCCAAAGGCTTTTTGTATTGTAAAATTTAAGAATTATTTTATATTTTGTACTACACTTAATTGCCTGGAAATCCACCAAAAAAGCAACGAAACGGTCAGTGAAGAATAATGTACAATAAGTACTAGTTTTAAAGATCAATGACCTCATTTACAAGGAACAGTATCGAGATAAATTATATGCTTGCAACAGTTTGAAACTAAATATTCATGTGGTTATAAAATTATAAGGTAAATATATTTACCATCATTACTACTGGGTAGATACCGCTGCTGATTGTAAAAAGGGGGGGGGGGCGTAAGATCAACTTAATAGTAAGTTCTTGGTATTGAAACGATTTTTAGCATATAGTTATTTAGAATTCCCCGTTCACAAGTTAAGAAATTATTGACAAACTAAGGTTTAAACTTTCTGATGCAAAGTTGATCTTTGATATTCTTTTAAGGTTCCTTTTCGTCATATAGCACCTTACGTTGCTGTGTATATTTACGTATCCTTGGTTTTCAAATGTATAGCTACGAACCTTCCTGATGAAGGTACAACAAGAAAAGCGCTTCGGACGAAATGTATATAGTGTTTATTTTGAATATTTCTTAGGATGTAACATCAACACGCTAATGAATGTTATAAACATATTTGTTAGAATTATATTCTATATCAAGATTCAAGCAAATTTTTGCAAGACAAAACTATTTGCATCAGGCGTGCCGCTGTCGTGGAGATGATTGGATGCCGATATAAAACATTTGTTTTTATTTAACAGTTTAATTGTGCTGCGTAAAGTCGCATTACAAGATTTATTCCTTTGATTTATTAATAAACCTTTTTTCATCGTTCTCATTGAGTACATCAGTTTTAATCGTACGTAACTTGTGAATAAAAGATATTTTTCTGTTTTCTTCCTGGTGGGATTCAATTTTGGTTTACCTCTTTTATTTGAAAAGTCATGTGTTCATAAAAATGTCCTATTAGTAATAGGTGCCTCCAGAATGAGACTGACTATAAATTACTTTTGAACTTTTACTTGACTCGGGTTTGAAAGTGTAAATTGATGATATTGATCAAGGTGAGCAACATAGGCCTTACAGAATCAGCCTCTATTTTTCTGTTCTCTCTCTTTCCCTTAACTGAAGGTCAATTTATAAGGAATTATTTCATCAAAAATATCTTTCAAAAATTTGTAAAGCGTATTCCAACAGAACCGGACTAAAATTTACTAGAATTCTTACCTTCAAGTGGTTCTTTTACAGTGTAGTTAATTATTAGCTTGTCGTTGTCCTAATTGGTTTGTGTTTTCTACTTCCTTTATCCTTGAACTCCCGACACTTCTTCAGTATAATTGTTTACTTATTTATAAATGAATTTTGAAGTCAGGTGACTTACATACTATGTACTTTCCCCCACCAGACACATGTTTAAAACAATTGATAATATTGTATTCATTTACTTATTTTTATTTTCTTGTAACTTTGTGTAGTATATTTTCATGTTTGTATATTCATGTCTTCCTGGGTATTTTGTATCCTTAAGCAGAACTTTACAACCAGTTGTTCTAATACATCAAAGTCCAAAAAGCAGCAGGACAGTTGTAGTACAAACTTAAGCTGATGATACAAAAATGAATAAGATTATAATTAACTTACCTGTTAATATATGACAAATTGTTAACATATATTCCGTTAACATTCAAATTATCCAGAATATCAAATCATAACTGATGATGGCAAACACGCTGGATACGTTAACTAATATGAAAAACCATTAACGGATGGAAATGAACTACTCCGGTAAACATGAAATCATTAATATTGTAATGTAATATATCAATTTACTTTTATTAGATATTCTCCCTGGATACCTAATAACTAATATATCAGGGATACTAAGTGCAATGCTGTGTACACTAAGTAAATTGTTAAAAGCAATAGGATGCAGTAAAAAATGTATTAGTCATAAAAAAACGTTGAAACAAGGAAATGTTTACGACAATGGATGAAAAATCTAAAACTGAAACTAAGACTATGGGATTGCGTGTATTGAAAAGAGCAACACTTAAGAAGGAAATAAAAAAAAAAAACTTCTGAAAATTTTTAAAACATCTTTCCTTGTATATAAAAATTAGAAGATGTGGCACGATTGCCAATGAGACAACTTTCCACAAGAGACCAAATGAAAAAGAAATTAACAACTATAGGTAACCGTACGGCCTTCCTTGTGTATTTTTCTGTTGAATAACCTTCTAGTGACTATGCATGTTTTTTTTAAAATAATATTTACTTGATATGTATATATTACACTTTTTTAATATGGTAACCCTTATTTTAAATCTTCCTTATCAAAAATTCTCAAATAATTGATGGTGCACACTTAACAAATACATTTCCAGTTTAATTTTCATATTTTGGGATCAGGATTTATTTTTCTTATGCAAATGTGTTTGTTGAAAGATAAAATTCTGCACAACTGACCTATAGATGAGGGTCGTGATGGGATATGCAGCAAACAATGAATAGAGCAAATCGGCAAATAAATAAAGAATGGGGAATAAGGTGCCAAAAAATCAAGAATAATTGTGTCAAAATAAAGAATAAGGTTTAAAAAATATTGATTATAGAAATTAATTAATAATTGAAAAAATTTGATATGTCAATACTAAAATTGTATGCTTTGAACAAGATTTTTTTTTTTTGCCTAGTTTTAATTTGTGTTTTTTTTTGGAAAATGTACTCTCTCAAATAACAAAAACTTTAGACACAATACAACACAAACTCTTTTGAAAATTCTCAAATTATTGATTATAATGCAAACTCTACAAAATATTTCCAGTTTCTTTTTTTATTTTTTGGGGAAATGGTTTATTTTCCACATGATATTTTTTCTGATGCACCGATGTTTACTTTTAGTATTTAAAAATATCATACTAGTAACTGACCTATAAATAGTTCATACATATCAACGGTCTAAAAATAGCAACAATCAAAATTTATTCTATCAAGCATCACTATGAAAACAAACTAATCCGGCTACTCAATTAAAATATATGAATACCTTAGACTAATTTAAACGCGAGAATGAGTGTTATAACAATTCTTGTTATATCTTATATAGTTTCAAGCAACATTTCGTTTAAAAAAATATTCTCGTTATGAGTGCAGCTGTCGTGGTATTTTCGGATGCTGATATACAAATTACTTCGATTGGAAACTCGATTCAATGTTTTGAAAATTAATGTTTGGCTTATATCATGTATATAGTGACATGACATTGAAATAAAAATAAAAACTATGAATATCTTGATTAACCTTCTCAAAACAATTTTAAGTCAATGGAAAATTTACATGACAAATTCAAAACTGAAACTTAGAATAAGGAATTATATTTATGGAAACTAATTTCAAGAAACAATAAAAAGAAGAAAAGAGTAAAACTTAAAAAGGAAATAAATAAAACATTCTGAGATGTTTGAAAAAGCATGTCCTTTTTTCAGGTCATCCCGTCATAAGTTACCTTTTTGCGACTTTGTCTTTTTCTTAGAATAACATTGTCATTGATATAGATATTTTATATAGTTATTCCCTATGTTGACCGTTAAATGCTTAAAATTACTTAAAATCTTCTTTTAAAAGCTTAACCAACAATTGATAGCCAACGACACAACTATCCACAACAGACAAAATGACGTAGATTTTATCAACTATAGGTCACCGTGCGACTTCAACAATGAGCAAAGCCCATACTGCATTGCATCTTTTTTGAGCTGATTCCGCGTAAAGCAATCAATCATCTATCAATCAATCTTTTTATTCATAGGGGTATTGGAGTGGGTCATTTCTGTATATTATTTAATTTTTGGTTGCTTATTTTCTCTATTCATTAATGTTTTCCTTATTGAATCTTTCCCTTACTTTTGCATATCATTATTGTCTTTTGTTCGTTTTATTGTTTATTGTTCGGCTATTGTTTGTTTCTTCTCTTGTTTTTACCAATAGTTGGAGCAAGTTACCCATCATAGTCACTTATTCAAAATCATTTCATGGAAACAACTCAATTATATGAAAAGCAATATTTTGTTTACCTTAATGTTATCTACGTGATGAGCTTTTTGTCTGGCTTTTCAATGTCTTATTTTGGAAGAAAAGAATTTTTGATGCAACATTACATGTGTGCTGACATGGTAACGTTAAGCCTTTATCGACTAATGTTTTTGTCATTTAACTAAAATTGACCACAATTATTGTAGAAGATAAGCGAAGGATACCAAAGGGACATTCAAACTCATAAGTCGAAAATAAACTGACAACGACATAGCTAAAAGAAAAAAATACCAACAGACAAACAACAATAAACAAAACACAACATAGAAAACTAAAAACTGAGCAACACGAACCCAATCAAAAACCGGGGATGATCTCAGGTGCTCCGGAAAGGTAAGCAGATTAAAACAATACTCATATCTTCTGAAAGCAAGCTCAGTGTATAAGTACCCTGCCACGTCCATTCTGGGTTTGTGTTACTTGTTTTAGGCTTTGTATCAATCTGATGAGTTAAGCCATTTTCAACTGATTTCTACAGTTTGTTCATATGTTTTACTGTTACACCACTGTCCCAGGTTAGGGTGACGGTTGGGCGCCCGCTAACATGTAACATCATAAACAGTATAGGCTTGGAATATTTTAATGAGGGAAAGATATATCTTTATCAGGCATATCGCTGTCATTTACATATACATGTATATACATTTTGCAGCTTCTCCTACAGGTTTAATTGTTCTGCGTACAATCGTATGACTTTCAAGATTTTTTCCTTTGATTTATGATAACAACATCTTGGTAAAGATAATATCAACAGCCCAAAAAATTAACTTAAAAATGATCAAAACTTCTTACCTTTCAAAGCTCTTCAACTTAATACTTTATTTGATTTTTTAAATGTTATGATTCAAGCGTCATTGATGAGTTTTTTTGTAGAAGAAACGTACAGCTGGCGTACACAGATATAAGACTGGTATCGTTGATGAGTTTGTTGTTATACATTGTAATTAATCATTTAGATTTTGTTGTCTTATTAGGTTTTTGTGTTATGCTTCTATTGTCATTAAACTTCTTACCTTCTGTTTGTAATGCTTGTTCCTTTGATTCAATATTTTGAAAAACAGCTGATTTATATAGTGACTTTGAAACAAAGAAATGAAAATAACACTAAATAAATGTGCTGCGTTCGCAGTGGTTTTTTTCCGTCATTAGGGACAATTTTAAAACAATGAAAAATTTACATGACAAATATGTGAAACAACGAATATGGAATATATTGTTCAAAAAGCAACAATGAAAACGGAAATGGAAACGAACGAATCTTTCAGAGAATTTTGTAAACAATTTCCTTATGTACATCGATGTTCAGTTACTATCTCGTGACTTTGTATGTTTTCTTACAATAGCAATGTCACTGGAGATGGATATTTTATACTGTAATTCCCAATGCTAATTCTTAATGACTTAAAATCTTCCTTTTAAACCGTCTCAGATAATTGAATATAGTGCACACTCTACAAAATATTTCCAGTTGTGTCAAGATTTATTTTAAACATGCTATTTTGCTGACGACAGCTGTTTATTTCAAAATATTAAACTAGACAATTGTCCTATGAATAGTTTATGATCTGAGTTACAAAAGCTGTCGGGAAGATAAATATTTGCGTCCAATCTGTGAATGAATGTTTTAGGAACAATTTAACTAACGTAGTATGTTTCTTCTATTTACTAATAAGGGTCAAGGAATCTTCATTTCGGCATCTTTAATTTCAAGGCTCATTTTCTTTCTTTTTTGAAGGCTAATTATTCTTACCCCTTTTTTGAGCTTGCGCGTATTCCCTATTCTCTCTTTTTCCGTTACCCAATTTTTGTATAATTTCCGTATTTGTGCCCATCATTCCCTTTTTTACAAACTCAAACTATAGCTTTGACTTTACTTTTGTCATCTTTCTCACGTAATATTAAGCTAGATGAGAGTTCAGGACATTATCAACGTAGCTTGAAGAAGTATAACTGGCCAGTCGTATTTTTTTTTTTTGCTGCTCACCTGGTCCTTCTTGGAGCTAAACACCCAGCATTGTCACTAATTCAAAAATGTTTTGTCCAACTACATACATAACTATGTGATTAGTATAGTTTTGAGCGCTATATTTATCCACATGATAGACTTTTGCCTTGCATTATCCGTCATTATGGACAATTCTAAAGCAATGGAAAATTTACGTGACAAATGCATGAAATTAAGAATATGGAATATTATAAGAGAGCAACAATGGAAAAGGGAATGATTCAGGTGTTCTATTACCATCTCGTCACTTAATATATTTTTTCTGAGAATACCATAGTTACTTGATATGGATATTTTATATTATATTTTTCCCTTGCTAACTCTATATAACTTTTTTTTTATCAATATTTGAAATGGTATTTAGATATTTGATGTGTTCTTACTCCTACTGAATCATGCGATCTTACAATAACATTAAGATCGTATATATTTAGTTGCAAGAATACAAAAACATTTCAGTGAAAAAAACGTAGAAGTTAAAAGAAATCTGTTTCTGGAATAAGAATTCAAACATAAAAAAAGAACAAACAAAAAACCAAAAAAACAATCGCCTGTGGTTTCATTTACGGACAAAAAAGTCGACAGTCAGGAGAAAGGCGCTTTAAAATGACGCCAGAAAACATAAAATAACAAATACACCAAAATTCAGACAATTTATGTATAAGATAAAGACATTCAATTAGTAACTTTTGCCGATTTTGGTTCTCCGAATGAGCTGTGTGTTATTGGGAAAGCTAGAATATATTCCAAAAATAATTATATGGTCTAAATACTATTACTCATATGGTCCGGCCTATTTATAACCAACGAAGAATACTTAGGTAGCAATAAACAGTTA